CAAATGGGTCCACTGACACGGAGGTGAGGATAGGACGGTGGGGTAACGAGGTGGTCTCGTAGCAGTAGGTAGAAGCAGTGCATGATGTGTGAGCATCAATGACGGAGTGATCCTTAGCTGGATGGTGGCAGAATTCGCCAGAGTAACCATTGCTGCTTTTAGTGCTTGATGAAGCCCCTTCGCTGTGAAAGTACAATAAAGATGGATCATGAAATTAAGGGTCATTGCACTCCCACTGTACTGAATTTAAAGTGGGCCATTAGTCTCCGAGCCTTGCTTTTGAAATGTCAAATTTAACTACTTTCAATGTCCAATACCTTCTCTGGATTCTGTTTGTGAAAGGGTTAAAGGGAAAAATTTGCTTTGGAACTTTTTTGTTTAGTGCGTTTTGTATCCTAAAATTTTTTTTGGAGCAATATTGTTCCTGAAGTTTTAAAAAAGACATAGTGTTGTTGAGATTTAATCCCCAATGCAACGTTGACTATTAAATAACTTCGTTTGACTAGCTAATTTACATGTTGCAAGTCTAGAATGTGACTTGGCTGTACGTATCATCTTCCCTGGGCACACACGACTCCTCTTGTTATTATCCTTTTCTCTTCGTCCAGATTCTCCGCCATCACTATTGCCGCTTTCAACCTTGGATCTCTAATAGGGGAGGCTTTTGATTCCTATGGCCGGTGCGACGACAAGGAAGAGATGGAAAACTTAACCCTATGGTTTTAATTCCCCCGACAACCCTTGTGGCCTTTTTTGCCCTTCATTCCTCTTCCTTGCAACGAGCCCATGCTTCTTCTGCTATGACTCCTTCTTTCCATTCCCCCTCCTTCCCCACCTCACTCTCACTCTCACTGTCACTAGTATCGAATAATAATGGAACTGGCTAAGGACTCTGCTTCGAAGCTCCAGCTTTTTTATTCTAACATTGCGACATTTAACAATCTAAATCTGCTTAAGTCGCTGCAGAATCCGAAGGACAGCGGAGCATCTACATCTGGCGTTGGAGGCACCTGGTACGAGCTGATGTCGCCGGATTGGCTTTTCAATCTCGAGGTTAGTGCTTCTGTTGATCATTCTTGCAATCTCGTGACAGAATTATGAACCTGCACTAAAAACGTAGTTTGTTGTTTGAAGAAGGGGGATTTGGATCAGTGTTGAATTCGATGTTCTGTTTGGTTGATTTGGGGGAAGGGGGGGTGGGGAATTAGTGGATTCACTAGTGGAAATCTCATTGTGTTGAATTTTTTTACTCTAGTACCCTGAATTTTATTTCAAGAAAATTTCAGTGAGCCTTGATTATATATAATAAAAAAAAGATTCATGAATTTTTAAAATTTGTGATAGAAATGATAAAATTGTCTTCATTTAAATAAACAACATAAAGTATTTATTCATTCTCATACTATATGTTGTTATTCATTTATGAAATATTATTCATTTTCCTACTTTACTTGTTTATAGTCTTGCTTTTACTTAATTTCATTCTAAGGCCATAAACAAGTAAAGTAGTGAAACAAACAATATTTCGTAAATAAATGAACAACACAATATAAAAATAAACAAGTTATCTTATCATGAAAATAACGTTTGGAATAAAATCAAGTGAAACTAGGATTATAAATAAATAAAGTAAGAAAACAATAATATTTCATAAGAAAACGAACAATATATAATATAAAAACAAACAAGTCATTCATACTGTTCCTTTACACAAGGGTAATTTTATCATTTTTATCATAAATTTGATAGAAATTCCGTACAGGTCCTTCAATAAATTTCACAAATTTAAGAGTTCTTTTTTTAATTATCTCTAATTGAGGGTCCCTCACTGAAATTTTTGCTGAAGCTTCAGGTACCATGGAGCCTCCCGCATGTAAGTAGGGTTCTCTTCGGAATGTTTTAGCTTGGTTGCTTCTCTTTAGTGTCTTCTTCGTACTCCTAAGATTTGCTTACGCCATCACTATCGCTGGTGAGTCTTGCAATGCTAGCGAGTAGGGAGAAGAGAGTTAAGACTTGACCGTCTCATTCATGCTTGGTGCACTCATAATGCTTCCCTTAGCACTGGGAGTGCTCGACAAGTTTTAGCTCTTCTCACTGCCGAGAGTGAGAGGAACACGAGGTCTTTGGCTGAGGTTGGTGTTCCCAAAACCATGTGTAACAATGCAAGTCTGCTCAGCGAATAAGGGATGTCACATTTGATAACAATGGTCAAAGTTGATAAATTAATGGTTAATATGACTTAAAATAAACGGTTAGTTAATATTACTACGTCTTTTAAAGGTTAAGGGTAACATTAATCCAAAAATAAGATTATGCGATACCTTCTATGCGTCTTTCAAGGAGTCTCCTTCCAACTTGATTTTTCCTTGGTATATTTTGTCTAGGTTTCAATTTCTTTTGTGGAATCTCCATGGTCGTCCGTGGCCATTGACTTCTGTATAGCCTGTAAAAAGCTGTGAATTTCTTTTTTTATTTTTTTTATAAAACAACAGGTTTGAGAAAGAAAACGACAAATGATCCTGGGCTTGAACGGCGTGATTGATTCCGCGAACTATTGGGACACCTTTTTTTTTTGGGGGGGGGGGGGGTAAATAGTAGAGCTTGATAGATGGACTGGTACCGTTGCCACGTAGAAAGCAAATTTACTTCAAAAAATTTTATGTGCCAGTGTACGGCAAGGTGCTTGGGCCCATAGTGGAAGTGAAGCAAACATTGCATGCTACAGCTCATTCAACAATCATCTAACTTTGGAGTCCGAATTATTGCATGAATCATGAATATTGAGGACACATCTTTCCTTTTTTAAAAAAAAAAATTGGATGCCATCAAGATTCACGATGTGTATTCTTTAAATTATCTTCATCTGGCCAAAAGAAAAAAATAAATTACCTTCTTTAGCTTCTTTAGAATAGTGAGGCAACCTGTTTTTATTTTTATTTTTTATTTTTTGGGTGAATAGGGTGAGCTTGGTTTAATATATATAAAACTTGCCTTTTGCTCCCAATGCTAACGCAGTTTTAACGAACAAATCACGAGTGACCATTTTCTTGGCGGTTTTTTCTCAATGATTTATATTTACTCGTTAAATCTTCATTGCATTTTCTTTCTTACGACCACAACTCAGCCAGACAAGTTTTTATTTGCACTTCGTTGTCATCACCACACTCTTCAATAGGGGCAAAAACGAATTTTAATTTTGTGGCATTTTTTTTGGGAGATTTCCAAGAGATATTAAATAGAACTCCCCGAAGTAAGAAATTGGGCCTTCTTTTCACCTTCTTACGAAGGTTTGTTGCTGGTCCAAGAATTCAAAAAGCTTGATACTTGATAGTTTCTTCTATTTCAGAAAAATTTCATTGGTGGATATATGACCTATACAAAGCTTTTTATATCAATATTTTTATATCTTTATTGATTATTTTTAATAAAATATGACGACTCTATGATCCTTCAACGGTAGAGTTCTAGATGTATGATTTGAGTTGAAATTTATACCCTATTCCTTTTTATATATCATTTATACTAACCTCATCAATATCAATATGAAAAAAAATATAAAAAATAAAAGTGTGTAAAATTTTAAATATGCTCCTATATAACAAATTTAAAAAATAAATGTTATTATTTTTCTCTCATAAATGATAATTTTAAAAATACATTTAAAACATTACCTAAAAAGTGACGCTTTGATTTATAAATAAGACTAAATAGATTTTTTAAAATTTGCTTTTATAAATGAGACCGGAAATAGCACTTTATAAACGTCGCACACAAGTGTAATAGCCCTCTTATCCAGAAGTCAATTATTTGTAAACTTGAATAACTCCCAGCTCAGGAACTGGCCACTCTTACGAAAATGGAGTACCAGTCAATAACCTCAGGCTAATAAAAAGTCAGTACTTAATAGCCCTCTTTCTCGTTTCACAGTGGTGGGAAGTGGCGCGTTTATTTTGGTCCTTGGTCACTTTGGACATTGTCATTTTATTTAGGGTGAGCAAAATCGAACCGAAATCAAAAATCGAACCGAATCGAATTAAATTTTATTTATTTAATTCGTTCTATTTAATTTTTCAGTTCGACTCGATTTTTTTATTTTAAATATTTCGGTTGATCGATTCGATTCGGTTAGTAAAATTTAAAATCGAATAGATCGAATCGACCGAATTACATATAATTTATTAATTTATAAATTATATTTAATTTATAAATTATTTTATTTTTATTTTTATTTTTATTTTTATTTTTATTTTAATAAAGAATAAAAAATAATAACATCACTTGAAATTCCATTTCAGTCAGTCACTCTCATCAGTAGGTGTTGTGACTGAATTATGAAGCCATTATTTGATCATTGGTATTTATTTGTGGTTGTTTATTTGATTATCCATACTTTATAATATTTGGGCTTTGTGTCATATGAGTGTAATTAGAATGGGCTCATATTGAAAAAAAGAATAAAAAAAAAGGTCTAATTTTATAGTGTTATTTGTTTTAATATTTAAAAAATGGGCCCAATTTTAATAGTCAAATATGAAACTGAAAAATCGAATTAACCGACCGAACTGAATTATCAAATTTTGATTCGTTCCTTATTCGGTTCGATTCGATTTTCATTTTTAATATTATTTGACCGATCGATTCTATATATTTTACAACCAAACCAAACCAAACCTATTGATACTCACCCCTAATTTTACCCTTTATTTCGCCTTTTGTTCATATCTTCAAGCACACGTCTCATCGTCCGATCCATCTGTCCATCCAAAAATAGGAAGACAGGAACGAATCACAAGTCTGCACTCTCTGAACAACCTACCATGAACACCTGGTGAAACGACGAGCCAAACCTCCTCTTGGTTGCATCCAATGGTGAATATCGGTCAGAGACGAAAGATTCTGAGTTCAATCTGTAGCCTATCGTTTAACTACTTAGTTCAGCCTTCGGCCAAAGGATAGATTAATTATATTACGCAGTAATCCTAGCTATTAGCATCTTCATGTTCTGTTTTGCCACAAGAATGGAAACATTTCATTTGCTGAAAATCTTCCTGAATTCCAAATCGGAAGGCATTCCATTCCAATGCTCTAATACACAACTAAATACTTTCTTTACAAGACTAATAATTAGGTTTACGGTACCTAATTATAGCGCAAAGGAAGGTGTTAGTGCTTAGTGGTCGATCCGCCGCCAGCTGAATCTGTACCCTAGTTCAAAGAGATCAGATGTAAAGAGACCTCTAAAATTCCCCTACAACCTTGCCCTAGAGGCTACATGTACTCTTATTCACACAAGAGTTTTACTTGTCAAGTTAGTTTACTAAGAGCTGTTTCACTTCTAAGGGAGGAGGAGCTCGGCATCTTCATTGTTGCAGTAGTGGCACAATGCTGAAGATCAGCCAAGGAGAAGGATCGCCAAGTTGAGAAATTGTGGGCAAATGGAGAGGGTGAGCCACCACTGGTAATAGAAGACGCACTACTTAGAGGATGCAATGGGGGAAGATATGGAGGTGACTTCGAGATTGAGTCCTCACTTGTTATACTACTGCTGCTATCAGAGCTGTTCATGGCAACTGCAAGGGCCAGTGCGCTTCGACTAGAGCTCAATATTGTTCTCTTTGAAATTCCTCCGCTGTTGCTTTTCAAAGGGAAGCTTCGATTCTTGTTCCAAACATGATTGAAGGCCATCAAGTTTCTGCGTTTCCTGTTGTAGCCATTGTCTGGTTTTGCCAAGTCTTTCACGGACGGTGAGGAGCAAGCATGTGTCAGGTTCGTGAAGGACTTGGATTTTCCATTATAGAACTTCGAGATTCCTCTACTGCACAAGGATTATTAATTTCAACCATAAGACTAGTAGCAAAGCAGAACATTAAAAAGCTGAACTTAAATCACACGATCGTTCAACTAAGATTAATTCTGAAAGACAGAATCACCGAAGAACAGAGATTTGCTATAGACAAACTTGGGACCCAAAAACAGCACATCTATGAACAGATTCGTCATCCTACTTCGGATAGTGTACTACAGAAATGCACCATTTCAACACAGACGACCAGCATAACGCATATTCATGGGTTCCCGTACAGAAACTTTACCAACATTCTCGTGCCCCTCGGTGACTTCTAATAAAAATCCCTCTAGAGAAGACGACAAACATGGTCAAATTTAAGTTATTTACTCCTCCCCAATTAGAACATAATCCAGTCTCTCTCCACTAAACCAAAGAGGTTGTTGTCTAGGCACGAAAAAATCGCAATACCTGACGGGCAAAACTTCTTCTAAAGACTGCATCATGTCCAAAGAACCATTGTATGCACTCTGGGCCTCATTTTCGCCGCGATCCTCGTCCCCCATTGACCTCTCCGACGACAGATCGCTGTTCCTGCCGATAGAAGACGTCGAAGACGACGACGTACTGAACTTATCATCGGCAACCTTCGCCGGAAGAGCGCGATCTCCGCCGCTTCCGGCTTCCGGCTTTCGATCTTGAGAAGGGTCGAAGAAGGCGGAGGTGCATGTCACGGCACGCGTTAACTGAGAAGATTTGACCCTCATATCGACAGTTTCAACGTACGTAAACGCAGTAATTAGCGGACAACGACAATTGCTCGCATGCAATGCGGGAACTAAATGAAAGTAAACACGGGGAACGGGGGGACAAAATCTACAAGGCAGAAAAAAACAGCCGTGGATGAAGAAGAGGGAGAGTACATAGAAAAAGGAGGAGAGTAATGAAAAGGCAGATGGGGGAGATAGAGAGAGATAATGAAGAAGGAGACGGACAGGGTGGGTGGTTAATAAAATAAAGAAAAGAGAGGGGAGAAGGAAAATGGTTAATCCTTATCCATTGGGATGCAGGAGGAGGAGGGAGTTGAAAGCCAAGTGTCAAGGACAGAATGATAAAGTGGGTGGGATCAGGTAGTTGGGGGTGTGTACGGAAGGGATTGGAGGGCCAAAACAGCAACGTAAGACGGTGTCCCCAGCCGGGCATGGGGCCAGTGTATGTGAATAACAGTAATAATGGGAGTGAGGACGCGCGGGAAGGGGACCACGTGGAGGCTTAGTGAAGGGGAGGAGGCAGGCTTGACACGTTGACGAATCTGGGCGGTACATGAAGCCGGAGAGATGAGGAGATTAGAGTTTTGAATTATCAAGTGTCAACAACAATGTAGGATGCCATGAAGGAATGAGGTGGAAACAGGGTGAAGCTTATCCTCTCAGGAGGAGGCGGGGGCGTGGGACCCGCCCACCCCTTTCTCTCTCCAGCTCTTGCTTCCTACTTTCCGACTCTTTTAATGATACCCCCCTCTGGCATATTCTCACCCGCGCTCTCCCAATTTCAATCTCTATCCCTGTCCGCATCAGCGTATACTCTCTCTCTCTCTCTCTCTCTCTCTCTCTCTCTCAATCTATTTTTATATGTCTATTTATTTATTTAATTTATTCATGTCAGATCGGTAATTATGATATTAAAATATATATATATGTTGTTCATTTAATAATTATTATAAATAAATATTATAAAATTATTTTTAAAAATTTTTAAATAATAATAATAAATAATTTATTTATTTCAATATCATAAATAGTAATATGATATTATTAAATTAAATAAATAAATGAGATTAGATATTAATAGATGTATTAAGAGACGCTGTAGAAAGTATCCAAATCCTAACTACTTCTTTACTTATGGGCAACAATTTTATAAAGAAATTTTTATATAATAAATATAATATATATGTTTTAATCATATTTCTATCGTTAAGTGTGCATTTTTTTTTTTTATGGGACCCAATGTTTATTGTTTCAGTTTGCTTCTCATATGATTTTCTTTGTATGAGTAAGTCGTCTTAAATTATTCTTTATTATCTTCTTCTTAAATACCACTCATTTTTTCAATGCTTATCAATGACCACGAGTCTAATCTTTCCTGTATGCCCATACATTCATATAGAAAAATAAAATATGAAAAAATAGAGAGAAAAATAATTTTTTTGACTAATTGACCTTCATACTATAAAATATATATATATATATATTTACCACAATATTACACTTTCAATTATATTTATCTAGATGCTACAAATTTAAAAGTTAGTTTGATTAACATCAAGTTCTAAATTTTTTTTATAAAAAACATATATAAAACTTGGCTTCTATTTAATTTTAAAAAATTAAATATCTATCTTGTCATCTCTTTTTTTTGCCAAAGTTTTTTTTTTTTTAGATATAGAACTTTGCTTCTATCAAGCTAAGTTTTATTTAATTTAAAAAAATTAAATATATATCTTATTCTCTCTCTTTTCAATCTAGTTCTAATTAATTATTGGGATAAAATTTAAATCATATAATCCTTATTCCAACATTATTAACTCCATTAAATACTAAATAATTAATTGAAGTCCTTAAAAACTCAAACTATATCAAACCCAAGTTTTCTATCATTAAGAAATTAAAAATGAAAGAGAATATGTGATTAAAAAAATATTTAAAACACTTATATAATTAAAAAAAAAACTCGAGATCATACTCAAGATATCCTATTATGGAGCTATATTTTTAAAATTTTGCTCACTTTTTATCTCAATTTCTTATTGTGCACTGCACAAGAGGAAGATGGAAAGAAAGAAAGAGAAGTGATGTGCGCAGAAAAAGAAATAGGATTGAAAATAATAAAATAAGTTAGTAGGCCTCAATTTCAACATTCTCTCTTTGCTCTTTAGGTTTTTTTTTTCAAATCTTCTTCCTTCTTTTCTTTTCAATAGTTAATAATATATAAAACCCCCCCCCCACACACATATTATGTAATATTTATAATATTTCTTAACATGTTAAAATTAAACTCCATCAGTATATTTTGCTAAACACAATTTTTTAAATATTTATATGATTATAAATTTTTTATTTAGATTTAAGGAGTAAAAATAGAGATGTTACAATGATGTAGTCTCAGTCATGATATCCCGATTGACAATTTTAGAAATCCATAATGATTTATTACTACTCATGGTATAGCCTAAAATATGCTAGCAATTTTATTATTTTTACCTATAATGGCTTAGTATCATTTAAAGCATCTCGTTTGATGATTTTAGAGATTCATGATAATTTACTCGATTAATCTAAGCGTCTAATGCTGTATTAAACATTAACATTTTAATTTCAATTGATTAGGGACTTCAATTGATTATTTAGTCTTTAACAAAGTTAATAATGCTAGGATAAGAATTGTATGATTTAGATTTTATTCAGATAATTGATTAAAACTTGACTAAAGAGAAAGAAGATGAAATACATATTTAATTTTTTTAAATTAAATAGAACTTGGCTTCATAGAAGCCAAGTTCTATACCTGACATAAAAAATTTGGCCGAAGAGAGAGATGATGAGACATATATTTATTTTTTAAAATTAAATGTGTACATTTCTAACAAAAAAATTTAGAACTTAGTGTTAATCAACTGAATTTTAAATTTATAGTATCTAGGTAAATATTATTGAAAGTGTATTATTGTGGTAAATAAATTTTTTTATATAGTATAAAGGTCAATTTGACTAATTTTTTGCCTAGTTGGACAGGGAAAAAAAGTTGGGAGGAAGAAAAAATATAACCAAAAAAAATGAAGCATGTTGTATAAAAAAAATAAAACATGGGTTTCAAATTCACAAAAGAAGAGATTTTGCAAGGAAATTTTTCCCCCTTTCTACCTGCTCCCTCCTCCTCTGTGTCTTATATTCTTCAACTTAGAAGCCTATCTCATCATCTTTTACTCTCCATTCTTTACTCAATGCTTTTTCTTTGGTTTAAAAATTAACAATAAACATTGGTACTGCTTTACCTCACGACGCTGTACTTACCTCCCTCTTCTACAAATCTCACCATATTATGATAATAAGGGTGGCGATTCCACTTAAAGCAAGGGAAGAAAAAATACAACCTTGTAAAATTCAAAAAACATATCCTTATTGTTGGCGGACAAAAATGTTTAGGACATTAACTCACAAAATTGGTTTTCAGAAGAGGTTTAATGCTGAAAAACTACCAAGGCTTCAAGTTCAAATTCAAAATAGCAAACCAGAGGTTTTTTCGGGTAAGCTAAAAATAATTATTTATTTAATTATTTTTGTAAAAATAACCTGGTAAAAGGAACTCACTGCCTCTTGAACTTGCACGTAGGGGGCAAATCGGCTGATTTCAACTACAATTGCCCTATGTTGGCCTGTCTCATGTGCGTGAAGCCACTTATCCTCCAAACTCATTTTACTAACCCGTTTCATTCCTTAGTATATATACACTAGAAGAGTCCTTCTTTTAGTCAATATAGGACTTTGACACACACACACACACACTTTTGACACGTATACAACAATTCCCCACACGTGTCAAAGGGATTTATGTTCATCTGTGTTATTCACACAAAGGATAATCACTTTGAATTTGGTGTTTATTGACTTGAACCAAACATAGACTAATAAAAACTTAGCACACAAAAAAGTCAGTGTAACTTCATTATTGAACCAACAGATCTTGAGCGTGTGCTAGAGGTCTTATTAATCAGATTATACCCCCATAGTCTCTGCTATTAACAATGGTTTTGCATGTTAACAGCCATGCGCACGCCTTGTTTTAACAAATGCTCTAGAGATCTTGCCACTATTTCATAGGAACGGCCCCACTCTACATTTGTATAGGTGTTCTCATCAAGTGTATCTGTAATGAATACACCATCCATAAGGACTATGAAAATATTAAGAGCTTTCACTCAACCTCCATTCAATACATTCTAGCACTTTCTTAAGCTATAGGAAGAGACAAAATTCAATGCTAGCAGAACTAATTAGTGACTTGTTCTTACCCATTGAACCTTCTTCATGGAATCTCCAATCACAATGGTTGGATTGCCATCACTGTTAATTTCAAATAAGCTTAAATCTCATTCCCCTCGACGTTTCAATAATAAATTTCTTCCCTAGGGGTTTAGTTAACGAATTCGCCAGATTTAACTCTGATCTCACATAATTGATTGAGATGACCCTATCTTTGAGTAACTGCCTTCTAATATTATGTCTTAATCGAATATGTCTACTTTTGCCATTGAAGGTCTTATTTTTAGTCGTTGCTATTGCAGACTAGCTATCACAATGTAAACATACTGATGGTGTGAGCTTTTCACCTATTGGAATACTCGTTAAAAAGTTTTTCAACCACTCAGCCTCAGTCCCAGCCAGCTCAATGGCAATGAACTCAGAATCCCTTGAGAATTTTGTGTTGATTGTTTTTTGCAAACTTCTAGATTATTGCACCACTACCAAAAGTGAATATATAACCACTAATGGATTTTGTCTCTTCTAAATCTGAAATCCAGTTAGCATCACTGTATCCTTCCAATACAGCAGGAAATCCATTATACAATATACCATAATTACTGGTACCTCTCAAATATGTCAAAACTCTCACCAGAGCCTCCTAGTGTTTACTGCCTGGACAGTGGGTATATCTATTCAATTTGCCTACAGCATAAGTTATATCAGGCCTAGTAAAATTCATCAAATGCAACAGACTCCCAATAATTTGTACATACTCAGATTGAGCAACTAGGTCACCCTTATACTTTTTTAATTGCACACTCAAATTATAAGAAGTACTTAGAGGAGTATCTTTAAAATGTCCAAACTTTCTGAGAATTTTCTCAACATAATGTTCTTAGGAAAGCAAAATTCCATTTTCATTCCTTATTATTTTTACACTCAAGATTACCTTGGCTTCATCCATATCTTTCATATCAAAATTTGAAGAAATAAAATTTTTTGTTTCATTAACAACACACATACTAAAGCCAAAAATTAGCATATTATCTACATACAAGCATATAA